TTAATCAGATCGAATTGCTCGTTGGAGTTTAATGGGCTCTGATACCATGTTAAGATTTTGAATTCCATCTTAAAATGTCAACATTGCTAAAAAGAGTAATCTAAATTTTTACAAATTAGTCTATATTTCCATCTTTATTTTTTTTGATGTAAAAAGTCCACTTTCAAGTTGCTGGAAGATCAATTTTTGAATGCCAGATATTTCCTCTGGAAGGGTCAAATTATTAAAGTGTAAAACTTCAATCAGTGTCAGAGGCAAGTGGTGATTAGTTATTTTCCATAGGACTAAATCAGTTATGTTCTCATTGGTCGAATTTGTGATTGAGTTCTATGACATAATTGACCTTTTGTAATTGACTTGCTAATTAAGGCCCTTTGAGAGTTATTTATTTATTATTATTTTTTTTGGGAGAAAATGAGTTTTGAAATAATGTTTTTTTTTTAGAAAATTTGTGGTTAAAAAGTAGAAAAAAGTTTTGATTTTATATATAAAATATTTTATTGTGTGAATGTGTTTTTGAAAATGAATTAGAGAAATTTTTTTTTTTTTTTTTGATAAAATAGATGACAAACAAGAGCTAAATGTTTCTCCATACAATTTTTTGTACATTAATAAATTGTTTTGTTTTTTTCACATGTGGTAGGATGAAGTGGTTCAACATCATATCAGGGTGTGTTTGAGTCACATTATTTTGGAAAAAATGTATTTTAGAATAGTAGATTAATGAAAAATGTGTGGTTGAAAAAGAAGAAAAAATTATTGATGTGATGGAAAAAATTAATTTTATTGAAAAATGTGTGGTTGAAAATGAGTAGAAGAATGAGAATGAAAATTTTAATGTGGCTCAAACAGGGGCTCAATCCTAAATTTGAATCTCGTTGTCACCTATTTATTAAAAAATTACATACGTGTCATACTTTGATAGGAAGAAAAGAACCCAACATGAGAGGTGTCTTGAAGACAAGAATTAAATGAATTCATATGCCCCAATTCTGAAAAAAGACTTTCCTTTTGGCACGACAAAAGATTGTAACTTTAATGTAACATTCTCAATCACTTCTAACGAACTCACTATCCCATAGAATTCTTAAGAAACGCAAGACCAATTGCACGTCTTGCAATTCATGGGAAAAGACCATATTATTCTTATAATGGTACCTAAATTTGTCAATTGCGAATCTTGCACTTCAGAGCAAAAAACTTTCGTTCTCTTAATGGTACCAATGTTTCCTATCATGATCATTGGACAAATTTGTATGTATGCCCTACGGTTAATAATAGCTCAAATGAGTTCACCTTTGTTGATTATGATACTTGTGCTTTTATATCTGGGTATGAAATTTATCGCAAGTTCACTATCGTTGGTTATGATACTTATGCTTTCGCATTTGGGCACCGGATTAACCGGAATTATGAGACTGTGCACTGCTGTGTGTGACAACAAGCATACTTTGGTCAATGGCTAGAGTGTTAAGTTTGGGCTTGCTAGACTTTGTCCGAAGAGAAGAGTCGAGAGTTGAGGTGACATTGAAAGCTATAATAGTTACGCTCGAAAGGATGTTTGTCTCGTTGAATAGAGTGGGTTTAGGTTTTCTTCTTTGAAACAATCTTTTAGTATGAGTAATGCAAAAAAGTTCCATATTATCAACACTTAAAAAACACATTGATTTTGAAATAGACATGAATAAAAGAAGAATCTGTTTATTCACTATGAAATAATGAACAATGACAATAAATTGAAAAAAAAAATCTCGCAAACGTTTTATTTTATTTCCATAATAAAAGCTATTGTAATTCTAATTAAATTATGGAACCTAGCATGACAAGTGAACACACATTAAATTGATATATGCATAGAAAAAAAAATATCATAGCGAATCCTTTCAAAAAGCCAGTGAATGTGGTTGCTTTAGCAAAGGAAGCACAAAATCTCTAAGGAGAGAATTGTGTTGGAGGAAACACCTCCTTGTATCCGGAATTTGATATTTTGAAGCTTAATGAAATGCTTATTCTCAAAAAAAAAAAAAAAAAAAGAAAGGCCAGTGACACAATAAAAGTCTACTATATGACTTAGTCCATTTCTACAGTAGGACTACCATATATGTCAAGTCATGATTAATACTTTTATAATGAATGACGCTCATATCATAGGACATTGGTTTCTTAATTATCGTCTCACCTCAACAATAATAAAAAAAATAAAAGTTTTAATAACGAGGTGACAAGGTTGCATATTTTTACACTAGTTCGGTTGGGACATCTAGGGTACCATGCACAAATTTGAAGTTGGTTTCTTAATTAGCAGCCCACCTCAACGACAAACAATAAAAGTTTTGACAACGAGGTAACAACTAGGCATATTTTTAAACTATTTTGGCTGGGACATGTAGGGTACCATGAATAAATTAGAAAGACTTAGTCTTGCAAGAGCATTAATTATGAATTATAAAAGAATTACTATGCATCTTTTGTAATGTCGATTTAGATGAGTCGCGTCAATACCCTTTTGGAAGCTAGCCTTGCATATAAGTCATACGCTATTGGTCGCCCTTCTTGATTCCAAGTACATTGCTTATGAACTTGTATAAAAAAATGGAAAATGCTATTTGTACAATCGAAAAAAAAAAAAAAAACCCAACCCCCCCCCCCCCCCCCCCCCCTCCTTTTAATTTCCATAATCAAATCTCATCTCCTCATCTTCAGGTTTTATAATAACATCACTATTGTAATTCTAATTAAATTTTGTAACATAGCCATGACAGATGAATACATGTTACATATATGCATAGAGAAAAAATATCATAATGATTCCTTTCAATAAGCCAGTGAAATGGAAGTCTACGATATGCCTTGGTCCATTTCCACAACAATCATGCTACACAAACATACTCAATGACAAGGTTTAAAACGGGGGGATACAAAGCGCAACATCATTAGACATTTTGAAAAATAAAATTGAGTAGCATTATTCTTTATGCAATAGGCACTACCATATATGTCAAGTCATGATTAATACTTTTATAACGAATGAGGCTCATATCATCATACATTGGTTTCTTAATTATCAGCAATAAACAATAAAAGTTATTATTTAAGTCATGCATTGTACATTGTAAAATGTACAAACTAATCACATTTGGGAAATAATAGATTATTATACAAAACTATATGAATAAGTTGGTGAGATGAAGACAGTGTTGATGGCTGTTTTATATTCAAATTGTAATAAAATTTCAATGGAGCAAAAAAATTTCAAAATACTGTATAGGTGGGGCAGAGGCTTTGAATAGAGAAGTTTAGCGATTTTCAAAGCCGTTGACTTCTTTTTATTGATGAATGGAGCAAGGCTCTAAATTTGATTATATAGAATTATTGCGGTAGATTTTTTGTTTGAGAGGGACCTCACATTACTATATTCCTAAAAACGTGTTATTGAACTATGAAGAAGGTTTGGTTTTTCTGTTCACTTTTTCAGTCAAATTCATTAATTCGATTTGATTTTTTATCATGTTATTTATATATACGTATAATTTTCTCTTTGACATTTATCATTAAGGTTTGATTTTTCTGCTTGATTTTCAATGTCATTTTTCAAGAATTTACTTACTAGGGAATGATAAATAATGCAAATCTTGCTATATCGATCATGACTTTGACTATTTTTTACTATATCGATCATGATTTTGAATCATCATACATTGTAAAATATAAGTCATGCATTGTACCTTCTCATTTCACGTGCCAAAACTTACAACATTAATGCACAATACTTTGGATAATGCTAAATGTACATTCAATGAATTACATTGTGTTTGACATTTAGTTTGTTTTCAAAAAAATTGTGAGCGGGGAAATTATTATTTTTAAATAGTTTAATGGTGTGTTACCACCGACACAATCTAAATAATGATGTAAAAGATGTTGATAAAATTGCCCAAATAATTAAAAAAGAAGAGTATAAGCAATATGAAGTTTTAATGGATCACACAACAACCAAGAATATTGTGGAATATGAGAATTTTATTATACCAAGAAACACCAACAATTGTCTTACAAGATTTGATTCTCTCAATCTAATCTAAACAATTCTCTCTTGTTTCTAATGTATACAATCAATGATCTATATTTGTTATGGTATCTTTATTTGCCTTTGTATTGCCCTTATTGCCTTGCCAAGTGTCTATACCTCGTGGAGTATTTATAGAAGCCAAATCACGAAGTTATGGATGAGGTAGGAATCCAAAATCGCGTCGAAACCAAAACCGAGTGAAATTCCTCCACAGCGATAGCGCTCACGCGCTACCGCCCAGCGCCTAGCACTACCAACCTAGCGCCTAAGCGCTAGGTTGCTGTCCAATTTTTCCCTTCGTGTTTTTTTCTTTCCCTCTTGCTTCCAGCTCCGTCATAGTGCTTCCAAAACACCTCTTTCATCCATCCAAGAAGTTCTTAACCCAATCAAACTCCCATCAAACTTCCAAAACATGATGATAGTTGATTCCTAATCAAACCGAACTTCTAAACCAAGATTAATCAAGCCTCCTACATACAACAAACTCCTAAATCACATAGAATTTTTGTCACAAATCCTAACAAAAGATGATGTACATCTAACATAATTGGAGTATTTTAGATAATGAAAACATTGCCCCCTTAAAACACTTCCAAAGGAGACTTCTTTAGTCAAGATAAGATTTTCACTGACTTAGCCAAAGACTTACAAATTGATTCTCATTTTTTTAGAAGTATATTTGTCTCTCTTCTTTTCAACTATATATCCTTTAATAAAATGATATTACACGCAAACTAATTTTTTTTCCTTATTTTCTAACCATACGCTTTCCATCAATATACTATTCTAAAATTCATTCTTCACTTTTTAATGGGGCTCAAACAGGCTCTATATAAGAAATCATCTTGCAAACATGTGTTTGTACAATGCTTAGGTTGTAATTCTGTTACTACAATACAATCTAGGAAAAAGAATTATAACGAAATTCGCCATGGGATTGCATATGCTTTTGCTGCAATCCCACTTCTTTCTAGCGATGCTGCTTATTTTTGTCTCAAAATCAGTTTCTACACAAAATAATTTCCCAAGAGCTAAATGCACTGATCATTGTGGAGATGTAAGTATTCCCTTCCCTTTCGGTACAAGGGAAGGTTGTTACCTTAGTAAAACATTCTTAGTCACTTGTAATGACTCTCACTACGATCCTCCTAAACCATTCTTGGGACACTCAACCATGGAAATCAAAAAGATATCCCTGGAGGGTCAATTGACCGTGTTGAAACTCATAGCGAAAGCCTGTTATGCTAGGAATGGCACGAGAGTACTCGTTCACCACCCCTTTACACACTTCAAAGAATTCACAGTCAGTAATACCGCCAATAAGTTCACTGTTGTTGGTTGTGATACTTATGCTTTTGTATACGGGGAATGGATTAACCAGAATTATTACGAGACAGGGTGCACTTCCCGGTGTTTCAGCAAGGATAATCTGGATGACGGGTCATGTTCCGGTGTAGGATGTTGCCAGACGTCTATCCCAAAAGGGGTTAGCCAAGTTAATTTGACGTTGAACAGCTATGATAATTTCACAAAGAGCTATGATGGTAATCGCACCACCGTCTGGGACTTCAATAATTGCAGCTATGCATTTCTTGCTGAGGAAAGTGCATTCACTTTTTCTCCAAATAATCTTTCAACACTGATGAATGTACAGAAGCTTCCCATGGTGGTTGACTGGGCAATTGACAGAGGAACATGTGAGGAGTCTCAGAAGAACATGTCTAGTTATGCATGCAAAAGCGTGAATTCCAGTTGTATTGAAACTGATAACGGGTATCGTTGTTATTGTTCAGAGGGTTATGAAGGAAATCCATACCTCAGTGACAGTGATGGTTGTAAAGGTATTAAAGTTCGATTTCCTGTGTATTATCTTGAAATACATCATATCATTCTCTCATAATCTCACTGAATTGTTTAGCCCCGTGTCTTTTAAGATTTTAAATTCACTTTTTCTTTCCCTTAAGATTTTAACTCCGCTTTCTTTCATATTGTTATTTTTGTTATGCAGATATTGATGAATGTAAAAATTCAAGTCCTAACAAATGTGAGAAGGACCGATATTGTCAAAACGAAGAAGGGACTTTTAGGTGTGTTTGCCCGAAAGGTTACCATGGAGATGGGAGGGTAGATGGACGAGGTTGCATTCGTGGTCAATCACTAATATTCAAACTT